AAGTAGTACTTGAGATGGTTGATGAACTCCATGATGATCCATTGCGAGCGAACAATGTAAATGTACGCAGGTACACTTGGAGAAAGCCTAAACCCCTAAAACAAGCACGGTAAGATTTTTTCCTCTTAAGTCAAAACATGGTAAAATCAATAACCTGCACTAAAATAGAACATAGTTATCGATCTGACCACTCCATAATCTCTTTACATATTGAATTCACAAAAAATAGAAAGGGGTAGAGGCTTCTGGAAATTTGATAATAGTTTATCACAAGATCCACATTATGTGAAAGAAATCAAAAGCATTATTCAAGAAACTGTTGATCAGTATCACAGTCGATCCACTGAAGGAGAGCGAGTATTAATGATAAACGAACAAATATTCTTTGAAGTTTTATTATGTAATATTCGAGGATATACAATTAAATATTCATCTAAAAAAAAAGAAAGAAAGAATTAAAACAGAAAAGGAAACCGATGAAGCACTTGAAAACCTTGACGTCAAATTAGATGCAGCCATGAACGAAGAATACAAAGATAAATTATTAAAAGAAATAAATGAACTCCAAGAACAACAATTATAACTTAACCAATACAAAACAGAAGGCATTATACTAAGATCGAAAGCGAAATGGTATGAACAGGGAGAGAAACCGTCGAAAACATAGCAAAGATTACTTTCAGAATCTATATACTAGTAAAGAAATAAAAGATGTAGAACTTGAAGAACTATTTAAAAATTGCACTATACCTAAAATAACTGAAGAAGAATCCCAATGCCTGGAAGGCGAACTACAATGTGATGAAGGCCTTCAATCTCTTAAAGATACGAAAAACAATAAAAGTCCTGGACCATCTGGATTTGCTGTAGCATTTTACAAATTCATTTGGCATGATGTTGACAAATATTTGCTTAACTCGTTGAATCACGCATTCAAAACAGGTGAACTTCCGGAAAGCCAAAAACAGGGCCTTATAACATGTATTCCCAAACAAGACAAACCTAAAGATCAAATTAAAAACTACAGACCTATATCACGCCTTAACATATCGTATAAACTAGCCTCGTCTGTAATTTCAGCGCGAATAAAACGTGTACTCCCGAAAATAATACGCGACTATCAAAAAGGCTTCATGAAAGGTAGATACATTGGCGAATGCACGAGACTGGTAAGTGACATTATGGAATATACAGACTATATGAATATACCAGGATTATTGATAATGATGGAATGGTCTTTTATTGAGAAATGTCTTAACTTTTTTAATTTTGGACCATCAATCAAACACTGGATTAAAACATTTTACAATAACATAAATTCTAGCGTTACAATAAATGGTTTTGCATCAGACTTCTTCCACATTACTAGAGGCTGTAGACAAGGTAATCCTCTATCACCATATCTATTTCTCATAGTCGCAGAAATCCTTGCTCACATATTACGTCAAAATGACAAAATAAAAGGGATAAAAATTTCGACTTAGAATATTTGCTAACACAGTTTGCAGACGATGCAACTATAATCTTAGACGGGTCTGAACGTTCTTTTCATACAACATGAGAAGTGCTTAAACAATATCCATCCTTCTCTGGTCTTAAAATAAACATTGATAAAACTAAAGTAGTGTGGATAGGTTCTAAACAATTCTCAAGTACACAGTGTTGCAGAGACTATAATCTGGACTGGACGCAACGACCTTTCAAACTGCTAGGTATCATATTTCAACATAATAAGGCAGAAATGGTGGAACGAAACTATAAAGATAAACTAAAGAAAATGGATAAATTAATGAAACTTTGGTCACTAAGAGATCTCACACCATTCGGCAGAATAACTATCCTGAAAAGCCTAATATTGCCAACACTCAATCATCTATTTTCTTCACTACCAAACCCTAAAATGAATACAATTCAAATGATCCAGAAAAAGATCTTCGCATTTATTTGGAGAGGCAAACCAGACAAAATTAAAAGATCTCTGATAATCAGAAACTATAAAGAAGGCGGCTTGAAAGTTTCAGATATACTAGAAACTATAAAATCTCAAAAAATACCATGGATCAGAAGGTTATTTACAACAATCTCTAAATTCAACAATATCTTAAATAACACGGTAAAAAATACAAACCCAATAGAAATGGGCTCAAATTACCTGAAAACACACATCATCCCAAAACTTAAAAACGTTTTCTGGAAAGATGTTCTGGAAGCTTGGGCTGATTTACAAGAACGGTACCCTTATACGATATCCGACTTTTGCAAACAGTATATTTGGGCAAATAACAATATAAAAATTGGAAACAAATCTATACTTTATGAACACTACTTGAAAGCAAATGTAAAATTTATAAATGACGTATTAAAAGATGACGAATCCTTTCTGTCTTTCACTGAGTTTAAAGAGATGTATAGAGTAGAGACAAATTTCTTAGAATATGTGCGAATATTATCTTCAATAAAACAATATTCAAAGCAAGAAGCTACGATATTGACAAAGCAAAGACATTCACCCTTTATTCCCCCGAATGTAAAAATACTCTATGAAAATAAGAAAGGCTTCAATTTTTCTACACAACGCTACTAAACAAGGCTAAATCTATTCCAAGTTTAGGATATCAATGTAAATGGGAAAACGACCTTCATCACAATTTTCCACCTGACTTATGGAATACCTATCATTTTATACCATTCAGAGCTTTTCATAACACTAAGGAAAGATGATTTCAATATCGTATTGTCCACAGAATTTTCACGACCAATAAAGACCTATACAACTATAATATATTAGAATCACCACTAGGATTCACCACTATGTACGTTTGCAAGGCTGAAAAAGAAACTATTGTTCATTCGATGTTTGAATGCAGATACGTAAATAGGCTGTGGCAAGACCTTTTAAATTGGATTGAAGATAAAACAGACACTGCTATAAACCTGGATCCGAAAACAGTCCTTTTGGGCTTTCGTGAAAATCGTAACGATGTTCTGAACTTGATATTTATCATAACAAAGGAATATATTTATTCCAGAAAGCTAGCAAATATACGTCCAACCCTTGAAGTCTCAAAGCCAAATTAAACCACAGTTACAATCTCCATAAATATAATGCATACTCGGTATGCAAATATAGCAAGTTCACGACTTTCTGGTCATCATGCCACAACTTATTTACATAATCTATTCGATCTCACTCATGCTTGATTTTTAATTATACTGTGTATTTGAAATAGTGTTATGTATGAAGGATAAAACTGTACCAGTGCGAAAAAGAAATAAAGTGAATTTTTTTAAAAAAATAGGTCAGTTTGTGTCCTCATGCATTCATGCATTGTCTCTATACATTTGCAATATAAAGAACCATTAGCTTTGAGCAAATACAAAATATTTTATTATGTTTTAATAACGCTATTAATTAGCCTATTTAAGTTTCGTTTTGTGTCATTATACATGTAAACACACGTTCACACATAAGAAACCAACCAGCATGGCAATGGGTTAAATACTTAAGCAATGAGATGAATTGGGATGTTTTTCGTCCAAGGGCGAGATATTTCAATAACCCAATAAATCAGCCGAATTAAGTTTAATGAGTTGGGTGTTTTGGGTAAGCATAAATATTCTCACCCATAGGCCAATTCATTTTTGCCCATAGGCAGGGTAGTGCTGAGTTTTCCCCAAATATTCTTTTTAAAAAATCAATTTTTCAGCCTTAGCATATATCCACGATAATAGCGTGTGGAATTTTGTCAAATCCTTTATCAGAAGCTGTCCACAGTGCGGAGAGGTTTTGGACCAATGGGTTTCCAGGATTAAATCGATTCTTGTTCAAATAATTTACACATCACTTTCTCTCGAAAGATAATCCGTAATTTGGTTGTTGCTCTTTACAAAATATACATTCATTGTAGTTGTGAGCCAGTGTTTCCCTGGTAGGCATGTATCAGTCCCAGAGTGTCACTGGTGATATCTTCAATAATGAGAATATTACGATTAACTTGAACCAATACTTACTACCATTGTTGTGTATAGAACTTTCGCATGAGATGGATTGTTCATATGTATGATATCATATATATATATATATATATATATATGTATGTATGTATGTATGTATGTATGTATGTATGTATGTATGTATGTATGTATGTATGTATGTATGTATGTATGTATGTATGTATGTATGTATGTATGTATGTATGTATGTATGTATGTATGTATGTATGTATGTATGTATGTATGTATGTATGTATGTATGTATGTATGTATGTATGTATGTATGTATGTATGTATGTATGTATGTATGTATGTATGTATGTATGTATGTATGTATGTATGTATGTATGTATGTATGTATGTATGTATGTATGTATGTATGTATGTATGTATGTATGTATGTATGTATGTATGTATGTATGTATGTATGTATGTATGTATGTATGTATGTATGTATGTATGTATGTATGTATGTATGTATGTATGTATGTATGTATGTATGTATGTATGTATGTATGTATGTATGGGCATGTATGTATGTATGTATGTATGCACCAAGAAAACAAGTTAAAGAACATCCACAATCCACAAGGCTGCGGTTTAGTAATACCTACCAGTCATTACTGTTAAATAAACTGACGTACAAAAGAAAGTACACACCTGATGCTTTTGTAAACTGTTTTCCTGAAAACAGCGTAATATTTAGAAAAGTGTTTTGATTGTGACTCACATTTCACCAACATTGTGTACGTGTTGCAATAACACCATATATATCGTACCCAATTGGAACATTGCTAGCAAAATATTTACGTTTTTTTAATAGTCTCAAAATACCAGGTGTGCACTTTCCTTTGTACATCAGTATATGTCAATATGGAGAACTCGGGAGTTCTTTAACTTCTCTAAATAGTCCACTTAATAGGATATGAAAACACATCTGATGGACAATGTGTGGTCCCATGCACTGAGCTGAAGATAAGGCACCCTTGCATAGTATGTCCAAAGATTCACATACTTGTGTTTTCCCGTTTAGGACAGTGTGTGTATGGCTTGACAGTGAGGAAATTGTTATCCGAATGTGCAATATGGCTGACACAGGACCCCTCTTCTGCCGATCTGTTTCGGTTACTGCTATTGGACGTGTTGGGAAGCGCGTTAGCTCCCTGATTATTGAAAGAAGGCCGTTGTGAAGGTTGACGCCAGAAGAGCAGTGTTTTCTTGTAGCCATCCCTAAAGCTGCGATTCATGAGACCGTAGAGGAACCAATTGACGCATGAGTTGGTGAAGGAGGTGTATGAGCAGGCGATGTGGACGGTAGCAGGCCATGTGTCGTCTTTGTCAGCGATGGTAGCGATCATGTAAGGGCTCATTAGAACCGCAAAACAGAGAAATACGGCAAAAAGTGTCTTGATCAGGGCTATCTCGGAATGCTTGGGGGCTCTGTTCGACGACAGCCCAACCTGTCTGATTCTGTTTTTGGCATTCCTGACGTAGCGGTAGATGAAGAAGTTACAGATGAAAATGATGATGGCTGGAGCGGCGATGCTGCCAGTGAGGAGACAAAGAGTGTAACCGAAGTTAGCTGTTCGGTCATATCCGCAGTAGTGCAACTTCCGGTCATACCGGAAGCGGCCCCAGCCAACCAGCGGAGGAAGAGTCATGAGTGCTGCAACGACCCATATACAAACACAGATTGTAATAGTCGTGTATTTCGTGAAGACACGTCGGTATGTTTCGCTGCGGCATACGTTGAGGTAGCGGTTTACTGAGATGACGGTGAGGGTGAGGAGAGACGCAACGTAGGCGCACACGATAAGGAACCCGTTAAAGACACAGTGTCCTGGTCCAGCTACTGAGTACCTGCCCGTCATTAGATCCACCAGGAGGTATGACACAACGTATCCTAGAATTATCAAGTCTGCCACAGCAAGGTTGACGATGTAGATACCGTGGAGGGTTCGGAATACACGATTGGTTGTCACGGTTACAATGATTAGGAGGTTTCCAAACGTACCCGTGACGACGTAGAATATACCGATGACGATGAAAATGATTCTAGCTTCCTGGCTTATTTCGTATCCGACGTAAGGATCGGTTGGCGACATGATGGCCGATGGTAAATCTGTTAGGAATCTGTAACATTATACGTTTGGTATCAGATATCAGCATGTTAAAACAAAAGGAACAAGGAGACACAGTCATCAATATCCCCGCAATGGTAACATACTCTTCATGAAATAGTTTGATATGGCAAATATTGTCATCATGTACACATAAATCCAGATCTGTAAGACAATATAAACATTGTTCATCACATTGATCCAACGAAAACATACAGATGTAAACTATTCATATACTAGCATGCTTGTATGTTACAACAGACTGCCCGAGTGCTTCCACGGTTTGATGTACCTCCGTAATGTTGATACTGGAAGTAGAGAGGAACTGTTCCACAATGTGGAAGGAGGGTATTGAAAGGTTTTAAAGTTCTGCTGCGGAAAGGAGCACGATCATCAATTTCAGGCGAAGTTTGGCTTCTTGCCATGGAAACGCAAAAGATATTTTATTCAGAAATCCAAAACTATCAAAAGTTGACGAAGAAACATTGAACGGTTTATATGTTCAGCTCCGGAAAAGACGATTTTGGGAAATCGAAATCTGGCGGACGGCGTGACGAGCGAACGCTTTAACCACTAGGCTAACCAACCGCCCCGCTTAACCTAATTTTCGTAAAAGACTCGAAGGACACTCTTGTCCAAAGTTACTTTTGTCTCATGTTTAGACAATCTGTCTAAATGACGTGATGTTTATATTGTTTATACTTGATGGGACCTGTGAAGTGTCAATAGTCTTCTGTTTCAAGGCAATATATTCTTTGGGCATGCATGGCGAGGTTTCAGTGACGTTATCCTGAGATGGAGAGGACTCGGAACTAGATACAACATATATTGGTAACTGTTGACCGCGGAACTTCAGCTCCAAGAATGCAGGTATTGACGCGATATGCAGCATCAGGTGATGTTTATGTAGTTTTGTCCAATAGATAATTGACAGAAGTTTAACATATTTGCAGTTTTTCACCTTCATGTCCGGATAAAAATTAAATACATTCGTTACGACTGACAAATGGCAGCAGATCACATATCCTGGCTTACAACCCATGTTATACCGTATACAGCCTCCTATTAATCGGGGGCGGTGGGGTAGCCTAGTGGTTAAACCATACGCTCGTCACGCTGAAGACCCGGGTTCGATTCCTCACATGGTTACAATGTGTGAAGCCCATTTCTGGTGTCCCCCGGAGTGATATTGCTGGAATATTGCTAAAAGCGCGCAGAACCCAACTCACTCACTCACTCACCCTAATCGGGGTGATAAGGCATAAAATCATATTGGCTGCCCTCGAAGCATATACAGTAAAACGACGTTGTGGCAGTGACCAACGTAAATACATCGAGTTATCTGTGGTTCGACACAAACGCAAATAGTGACAAGGAAAGGAATACAGGAACAAAGATTTCAGGCTGCCGGACGTTTGACACAGCGATGTTCGAGAAGGGTGTTTGTCAAAAGAAAAAGGATGAGAGGGAACCTATTGAATATTTGAGTTAGTGCATGATACTGTCATTGGTAGAATACACAAAGTGTGTTTCTAATAAACTCATTCTGTCCCATCTAGCTGTCGTCCAAAGTCCTACTTAAAGAAGTTCCTACTAACATGACCTAAAATACAAATAATTATCACGTGTAAGCATCACTACATTGGTTGGTTGGGTGGTTGTTTAACATTCTAGAAAAGACAATCCAGTGATCAACAGCATGAGCATTGATCTACACAATTGGGAAACGATTACATGTGTCAACCAAGTCAGCGAGCATGACAACCCGATCCCGTTAGTCGCCTCATACGACAAGCATTGGTTGCTGAAGACCAGTTCTAACCCAGATCTTCACGGGTGTCAGAACTTGGTATAGGATGGATATTTAATAATGCCACATATAAGCCGGTATGAGTACTATCAGTAAACCTTTCACTTGACCCCTGAACCTGATGACATGTCAAATTAATCTTCATCCAAATTGAAACCAAGGGGAAATAAACGTGTATATGCTCATAGAAAGTATTTCCGAAAAGTGGAGTTAATACTCAGTGGATTCAGAAACTCAGATGATTTGCTTGACTGTTTGCAATGTTAGTAAGGTTCCGATTCAGTCCCCTTACTCTTGTAACTTTATACACTACTGACCCAAATGGCGGACTAAAGGAAAGCCATCATTTCTTGATACTTGCGGGTTTTCTTTACAATATGTGATGACCATAAACTTGAAGTTACAGACCTTCAGGTTCAGGATAAATTGTCAAAATGGAAGCAAATGCTATATGAATATACTGAGAATACAACATGCGAAATACTTGACTTCCTCACTGACAACGTCTTTGTAAATATGTACATGTAGGCAGGAAGTGGGCATCCCATTGGTCACGCATTGCCCTACCGTCACTCATTTGGCTACCGTCACTCATTGCTCTACCGTTACCGTCACTCATTGCGCTACTGTCACTCATTGCGCTACCGTCACTCATTGCGCTACTGTCACTCATTGCGCTACCGTCACTCATTGCGCTACGCTTCTCCTGAGTTGTTTCTGTGTGCATATTAATCGGAAAATATGCTCGGATATTCAAAGTCAAAACAAGGTAATTTGGACAAGAAGTTCAAATTTGAAGCTTAATGTATCAATTGTTTGATATAGTTCAGTAACTATCATACAGCCATTCCCTTCCCCGATTTACCCAACTGAACGAGGAATACAGACACTCATATGCAGATCTATCCAAAAATATTCAGCGAGACAAACACTTTCAACAAGTTATGACAATGGCAATGAATTAACTTTCCATTTATATTGAGCAATATTCCAACAGCTCCAGCCTTTCGTGTTTACATTTCACAATATCTGGGATGCAAGCCATCATGTCTTTCGTACAAGACTTTCAAAGAGCGTCATACGACTCAAATCCTACAGCTCGTTGCTCTTTTAGCCATTAAGGAATGAACAGTTAAAGTACTCACCGAACAGGCAGTAGGAACTTGTACTGGGGTCGTTCATCAGACACCTCTCCCCCTCGCTAGGCTATCGTAGATTAAATCGGCAGCGGTGCACACCAACGTCCTCGCTGCCTACGACACGCCGGTCGCTCGTCAATACGGACGTGGTGCTGTGTGACGAATGCTGGTTGGATGACAAGCAGTTCCAGTTTTTCAATACTAATCATTCTCATATAGTCCTAGTGCACTACATAGAACTAATGACCCGAACTTCTAGCAATCGCATTAAGGTATAGATAGTTAATCGAGTTCATATTGACCATCGGAAGTTATAAGGCAATATAAATGAAGCGAGAGGTGACGGAATGCTTTCATGATATCATTCTAGCGATTTTTCATTTCTTATGTAACTTCGCTACAAATGCATTACTAAGACAGGTTTTTCTAAAAATGTTTAGAACTCATGCTTGTTCCTTTAGTTATATATACCAACAATACATATTCCGAAACTTTGTTTTTCACATTTGTACGATTGTTTTGATATAATTAAAATGCTGAAAAACACCCTCAAAACAACAAAACGAAGTGTGAAAGCACAGAAAAGTCAGCCAAATTGATGAACAAAGCACCCCAGATTCCAATTAAGTTCTCCCCGGAATAACGATTTGCACTCTGTTCTGTCAATGTGATTCTCGGACACAGAGGCTGCCGGTCGATTTCGTGACTTTCAAGAAAACGGTTCTCTGTGTATGTGCCATAGATAATTGATCACTGCTGTGTTTATAAACGTCGACTTCAGGGATGTCACACAGTGTGATGAAAAGTATATTTGAGGACATGGTCTGTATCACAGGGGCGTGTCACGCTTAGAAACAGCGTTAGAGAGACATATAGGTATATAGACCCTTCCCTAGTGCTATATAAAACTAGGGAAGGGTCTATATACCTATATGTCTTTCTAACGCTGTTTCTAAGCGTGACACGCCCCTGTGGTCTGTATCGGGCGTATACAACGGAGGCAGACATTTGGGATTATCTGTATGAAAGTACTACAAATCTTGTTCAAAAGCCCTGGTCGCTATATCCAACACCCGAGTGCTATATACACAGTGTATAATTATGTAGACATGATTTAACCATAACATGGACAGAAATGGTGTTTTACAACAGCGACTTACGTCTTTGCCTGACACCGGGTGTCCGAAATGTGTCTTATCGTTGCTGAATTTTGCTTTGTGTGTACCGTGTTGTGAGAATGTTATTTGATGTAATGGTATCAGTGTCTTATAATCACGCAGATAGCTCTGCTCAAAGTGACACTTCTTGTCTTACACCGGGTGTCTAACTGTGGCTGATCCGCTGCTGAAGTTTGCTTTGCGTGTGTGTGTTGTGAGAATGGTATTTGATGTAATGATATTGTCTTATAATCCCGCAGATAGCGCTGCTCAAGTTGACTTCCGTCTTGCCCAACACCGGGTGTCTGAAATGTGAATGGTCCGTTGCTGAATTTCGCTTTGTGTGTGTGTCGTACATGTGCTGTATTGAAGATGCCATTTGATGTAATGATATCATTGTCTGACAATCACTGTTTTGGACTTCCTTCCACCCTTAGTATGTGTGTCTGTCACCAGATGTCGCTGAGTAAAACTTCGCCTTCCTGTAGGCCTGTCACAAGAGGAATGGACCGCCTCCGTGGTGTAGTGGTTAGAGCGTCCGCCCGGAGAGCGGAAGGTCGTGGGTTCGATCCCCGACCGCGTCATACCAAAAGACGTTAAAATATGGTACCTGTTGGTTCCTGCCTGGCGCTCGGCATTAATGGGTACAACAAGGACTGGTCGGCTCGGAGTCAGTATAATGTGTCTGAGTGGGGTATTCATGCTTCACTGCGGCATGGTATCTCAGTGGGCTAGCACTATAAAACCAGCTTCAGTCTGAGCTAGTACAAGCAGCCGCACATACACATACACACGCATGCACGTGGTCATATGAGCAAAATATTCTCAAGTACGACGTAAAGCCCAATTTCACCTCACCTCACCTCACAAGAGGAATGC